CACGTGCCTGGCGGGTTGGCCTACCCCGGACGTCGCAGGCGTCGTTACTGATCTCGCAGTAGGTAGAGCGCGCGCACACGGCTAGCAGCCGAAATTTCACAATGTCTTAATGTTCTCCCCTGCTGCCACGTATGGCTCATTCGTTCCACCGTGTCTATTCATACTTGAGAAACGGTTCATGTGAGCTGTGAGTAGTCCCTTTTCCTGCGATCAAAGAAAAAGGTGGGCATAAATGTTGAATTTGATTTCCTCTCCACGCACCTTTTGCTCAAAAGCTGGTGTGTTAGAGAACTACAACCAGGTCAATAAAAATTCTTTAAAGTCTTAAAGGTCTTTGGCTCTTTTCGTTTGTAACTCAAGTATTTGGCTGCTGACATGGCTGAGTGAGTAACAATTGTTTGAGTAATTGTGATACATTGATTTCATTGAGTGCAGTATTTTTGCCAGAAAATCACGTCAACAGATCTAAATAATGAGCTGGTGAAACACGTTCATGTCTCTCGTTATCAAGGACAAATCAAATTGTAGTCATGTTATGTTTTTTCAAAGACAGGTGAATTTTGTGAAAGCACGAGGTCCTGAATCTCTTGGTGCACTCGGTGCACTCGAAGGGCTTCTCTCCTGTGTGGGTCCGCAGATGAGACCGCAAAGTTCCGCCCGTTGTAAATTTCTTCTTGCATACACTGCACTCAAAAGCCCCCCCCCCCCTCCCCGTCCCCAGGGCGTAACTGGCACTTCAATTGTGCAATTTCTGCGAATTTCCTTTTACTCTCTCTACATCGTGGTTCTCGACCAAAAGGGGCATTCTTTTCCACAGTTGCGCTGTTTGGGTGGCACTCGAATCAAGGGGGCATGGCGATGTTCAGTGGGCATCCAGGCAAGTGTCGACAGCCCATAACCAGCGCAAGAGGGGCACAGAGGGAGCAACATCAATAACAGCGCCAGGGAGAGGCCAGGCCAGGCCAGGCCGGGGGTCGAACTCTCGTTGTCCGCGGGGCGCTTTCCAGCAGCCCCCAGCGCAGCGCGCAGGACGGCGGCACACGGTGGGCGAACTCGACCTGCCGAGCGGGCAGGGCACAGGGGCCGTCGGTGTTTGCCTTGCTACTGCGCAGTGTGTGCACATTGCGTGCTCGTCGCGGTACAGCATAAACTACAGAAGTGAGCGGGGTTCATCAGCCACCTGGTATGCTTTTCTACCCATGGCTCGCGCTGGGAGTCAGGACGACGTTTTGCGACTCATCGCATCGCTGCCCTGGAGCGGGCTCTCTCAAGTACGGATGCGCGCGTCTGCATTGCAGTTAGCGCCGTGCGCCGTGCGTCCCGGGGTGCAGGTCGGCGAGGAGCCCGCAGGAAAGAGTCGACAGTGAGCACGGCCAAAGTTACGGGCCGCCGACGGTCAAGGCGTCGCGATGCCAAGAAAATAAGAGCGGTTGCTATGCCGATGCTATTGGCGATTGGCGCCATGTCCTTCAACGCGGCAGAGCTGGATCGGGCATGCTCCCACTTTTTAGAGGCAAGTACTAGCTTCTAAAGGCTGCTTTCTAGTCGATTAACGAGCTCGGATTTTCGCAATCTCATGCATTGCTTTCTGTTCTGTATGAACTTTCCCTTATTTTCAGGAGGAAGTGGAGCGGCTAGCGAGGTTAATTTGTCAGCTGCAGCGGAAGAAAGCGATGTACTCCAGGATGTTGGACTGGCGAGCGAGCGGCACACCTACCTCCCATGACGCCGGGCTCCAAGGTAAGGTCCTAGATGACGGACGAGCGACCCCGAATCACGTCGATATTCGCTGTCTATCCCCCGGGCGCAGTTGCTAGTAGTTGTAACCTATGCGGCTTTGCACCCGTGCGCTCGGGTCTGGGAAGGGGTAGGGGTCGAGGGAGATCGCGGGCGCCAGTGGCCCATCAGTGTGGGTCATGGTCATGTAGACGCACGTCTCAAGAGAACTTCATTACCACGTCACCGCAGCCCGCCAAGCAGTCATGCTGCTCGCCTGGCTTGGCCACCCCGATAACCACGCAGGCCCAGAGGTCGGGGGGTGTACGCCAGCGGGGGGCGGGGCCCGCCCTCCTCAGTCCTGATACTGTACCCCGTGCAGGCGTGCGTGCAGGTTGCCTACTCGCACGGGGCCGTAAGGAGCCGTGGGCAGCGAGCATTGGCAAACCCGCCCGCACGCGGTACAGTCCATACGAAAGTGCGCGGCGTGAGTCAGCCATCTGGACTAGTATTAACTTCAGCGACTGGTGTCTGCTGGTCTTGGCGGCGGGGTGAGGGGGGG